TATGGTAATGGGATTAAGGGTCCCTATTAGGGGTCCCTCCTAAAGTCCCCAGATACAGGATTCATGGCATCTGGCTGAAGAGTTGCCTTCATAATCACTCACTGGGGTAATATTAGTGTTATATAGGGTTAAGGGTTTAGGGGTTTAGGGTTTAGGGTTAAGGGTTTAGGGGTTTGGGGTTTAGGGTTTAGGGTTTGGGGTTGAGGGTTTAAGGGTTTTATGGGATTAATGGAAAGAAAATAGAAACTCCATAGTAGATTGGGGTTATATGGGGATAGTGGAAAAATATAACGGAAACTACTAGTTAAGGTTTGGGGACACAGTAGGGCTTCCATCTCATGTTCCATGTTCTTTTCCATGTCATTCTCCATTATTCAAAGTAATATCCCTATATACCCTCAAACCTATCTACCAGTATATATGTCTTAACATGAGGAAGTAACTCCATAGCATAGAGTCACCCATATCAGCATCGATCCATATGCGTTAACGCAGATGCGGAAGATGACGCCCCTACAAGCTTCCCTGTCCCTAAACCCTAAACCCTAACCCTAAATTCTAGTTTCCATTTTCTTTTCCTTTATCCCAAAATAACCCGTAACGATTCACGTCCACGGTCTGGCGAGTGGAGGGCCATGGCTTGGGCACTATTATTACCATTATTACCATTATTACTATTAGTACTACTACTATTACTATACTACTACTACTACTACTACTACTACTATTGCTCTTATTACTATTATTAAATTGGGAGCACGAACTGTTTCGCTTGCTGCCAGACTGCGGCACTCTGCTGTGTCATGGCTCAGAAGGGCGGATCGCGAATGCTTACGGAAGGTCAGGCAGCAAATAGTGATAAGAGTAATGAATAGTAATAATAATAATGGTAATAATGGTAATAGTGGTAGTAATGGTAGTAATAATAGCAATAAGAGAAATAATAGTAGCAGCCACATGAGAACCCTGCCCTTCTGCCCCATTCACAAACCACTTCAGAGCAAGCTCAGAAAGTCAAAGGCAGGTTTTAGCAGGTTTTAGGCCACCGCCCGCCCTTCCGGCCTCGTCCACCCAAGGATATTCTGAGGTCGGTGACGTCACTGCTTGCGCTTTCTGAACGGGAGCAAGCACATCCACAGCTTGCTATGCTTCGAATGGTAGGGCTATATGAGCTACTGTCTAAAC